TATTTATTTGCCGTTCCAGAGGTATCACTGATATTCATATAACTAAGGTATTGCCAGATCACCGCCCTATTAGTCAAATCAAAAAGAGACGATGAAGGATATAACGATAGGCTGTCGAAACCCTTGAAGCGATATTCCAATACTCTTCTCATTTACGAAATGTGAAACATTTAGGAAACTTGTCAGCTTAATCACGTTCTGACCTAAATAGAGACTGGTGTGGTCAAAAATGAGCAGAATCAATAAATTGATTGAGGGCCAATCAAAGATGGCTGCGGCTGCGGTTTTGTGTTTGATTCTTCTCCTTTTAGGGCCCGATTCAATTCGATTTTTACTGGTAGATAATTGGTAGGTGAGTTGAGGGTAAATTATCAATCTGTTTAACGTGATTTCTTTAGGTGGATTTTTGTTTGTGTCGTTTTTTAATATATCGTAATGAAATATATCGTTGTCTGATTTTACTGCTATTATGTTATATTGTTATCTAAATAAAGGTTTAATTACCCGAGTTTGAGGTACACATTGAACGATAATATAACGGAAAAAAAGTTTGATTCTTTTTTTTCGTTACAATTGGTTAATATTGTCACAAGTCACTACTGTGGGTCTATTCAGTAGAAGAGAGGCAAAAAATCTTTTCAGAAATATCTAGCAAGCTAATTCCTCGGTAGTTTTCGCAGTCATTCTGTTACCTTTTTTTTCTTTGGGAGCGGAATCGCTTTGCTTCAGTCACATGACATTTGATCCTTCTTCCACACGGAAGAATATGGTTTTTGCAGGTATCATGAAGGATGCCGAGTTGCATCTGAAGATTTCAGTTCGCAAACCATCTCAGGGAATTTTATTGGACTTAAACTTATGAATTACATAGTTAAGGTTATAGTTAAGATTATTTCTAGCTTGGTTAATTGTTCGCAGTTGCATTCGGCTCTGAATACGTTTCAGTGATATCCATTATGTTAGGCCTGTTGTAGAATCTTTTGCGAATCTACTGAGCTACCAATAACTAGCATCGATTAACATGTGTGCCTATGGCAGCGCAATCAGACGGCTGGACCGTTTCTTCTGACACCTAATTTTTCGAGTCCTAGGACCGATTCGAGCCGATTCCTCGGGATTTCAGAAGAAATCTTTACTTCTCGGCAGTTCCAGAGGCACTAAGGTTGTTAAAATGTCTTCTAAGCACCTCAGCTTGAAATATGTTAACTGTCCTTGAATGCTAAAAGCATGTATTGGTGCCAAAAAGACCCTTTTTCAGCACACCAGAGAAGGTACTTTTCACTGCAGACTGAATCTCAACTCCATATTTGCCATCGGCAGAAGGTAGCGACAAAATATCGTCACCTATGCGAGCATCCCAGTCTCCCGTGGTCATAGCCACGTTTTTTGAGAAAGGTACTGTTAGCAAATTGCAAATTCGGCTTGATATATTTATTCTTTCCAGATTATCCATGCAAAGCCTAGAAACTCACTGAAATATTACAAAGCTCGCTTTTAAAGCTGGAGTGGGCCAATCGGTCATTAACTCGGTTCCATACGATTAGAGCTAATCGTGCTATTTCAAACATGACAATTGCGTTTTCATTTCTATCTAAGTTATTAGAAACACCATTTTGATATATCCAGTTATTCTTATTCCAACCAGCTATAGTCATTGCTCGAACCCAGTAGTAGAAAAACGGATTTCTCGCAGTCAAGCAATATCTACACGATATTTGGATAGGGATGGTCGCCTAGCTCCAAACATCAATATTCTGATGTTCCACGCGGTCAAAATCTTGCCGCATGCACACTGAACAGGCTGATATTTTTGACTTCCTTAGGTGGGATAATGCAGTGGTTCAATGGGTTGTTGCTTGTTTGGGAGCGCAGATGCTGAGATTCGATTCCTTACAGGAGTAAATCTGTCCAAAAATCCGGGTGGTGGCGACTCAGCTGTACTTCTATCGCCAAGAGATTCCCTGGTATATTGTAAAAAAAAACTTTTATAATGTATGCATAGAATGATTTGTTATGACTCATCTGGGAGATCTTGAAAGTTTACACAAAGGGAATTTATACAAAAAATTATCTTGGATTTTCAGGATTTCACGGTTTTTCGTCCTTTATTTATCTTTTTGAGCTGCTAAATTCAGATTTTTTTCTTCCTGTAGAGGGCACACATTTTTTGGTTTTAATGGTTTTTTTAAATAATTTTATTTTTTAATGGAAAATAATTAGCTTTGGTTCAAATATTTTATAAATGCATTTATGTCGAAATGTATTTATAAATTTTAGCAAATTATTGGATAAATTTTATAAAACTTCTCAAAAATGTTTCTGCGGGCATTGCTTTTCATTGTGGAAATAATATGTATCGGTTGCAAAAGATTTTACATATCGGCAGCACATTTGTTGGAAAACGTTGTAATCGTTGGAGAGAAGGATGGGCGTTTTTCGTTAACTTCCACTTTCTCCATCGCGCAGTTAGCGGATTGCATCTCCGATTATCCAAGCATATTTCTAAAAGTCTCTTTAACTCTCTGCTTTGATTCGCCGCTGTTGGTTTTGTGTAATTTATCTGAATGAATGAATGAATGAGTGAATGAATAAAGGAATGAATGAATGAATAAATGAATGAATGAATGAATGAATGAATGCAAAAGATATTTGAAAGTTAACGATGAGGAATGAGGAAAATAAGGGAGAAGAGCCATCGCTCCGATTCGATAGAGTTATACGTGTAGTTATCAATTCATTTGATTGTGCACTTCGTTCAGTTTCCCTTCATTCATTCGTTTATAAACGTCAGTTATATGTGTATTTTTTAAATCTTTTTTTTGTAAAACTTTATTCGTTGTTCATTCGATGCTTTAGTTGTCAGATGCTTTGTACTTAAATATGCGTTATGAGTAGAATATTTACTTGGCTTCCTTTATTTTTAATAGCGCAGCGCTTGCTTTTCAGTTCTCGCTGGCTCTCTCGGCTGGTTGGAGGAGGTCAATCACTTGGGAATAAGCCACAAGCAGTTGCGCAGCACCAGCCAGGTTTCAGCCTTTATCGCACTTTTCCCTCGTCGCCACACAAATCATACCTATAACGGTTTCGGTCCTAAGCCTTACTTGAAGCGACAAATCCCTTGACCATAAGGTTTCCCTTTAATAAGGTTTATTCCATCCAGAAACCCTAACGACAATGCCTGACTTTTATTTGAAGCCAAACTCACATATCACTTGATCATCCTCGTGTTAAAAAACCTATTTATTTGAATTATAAGATAAAGATTTAAAAAACTGCAGGTTTATGAGAGTTAGACGATTTCCCAACAAAGTGCTCTGAAATGCTTTGTAATCGGCCTGTATCAGTCTGTTATTATAGGACAATGGTCGGAGGGAATGTGAATCTAGGCAAGGTTGAAAGTGTTGTGAAATCGAGTTTTTCGAATGAATTTAATCGACAATTCGCAGTTTTCAAGATATATCAAAAATAAAAAAGATGTAAGCGGTTGCGAAGATGAGGATTGAAGGGAAAAAGGAGAGGAAATGACAGCTTAAAAATCCGAGTTATTTAGTAGTGTTAAGCAATAAAAGAATAAGTATTTCGATTGTCTGATGTGCTTTATTTGATTCATTTTTTTTGTTCGTCGTAATTTATTTTCCTGCTTTTTTTGTTGGAATTATTGAATTATCTTGCAGCTTTTTGCGGGTATAATTTCTTTGTTAAAGATAATGTTAAAAATTTTTTTAAAAGAATTTCTTAAATTTCTATTGAATTATTATTGGATCATTCTGAAAATTTTTGCCTTTTTTTGGCGTCGCCGTTTATTGTCACATGTTTGTGTTACCTACTTTGTTGGTTGACGCATCGTATATCGCCGTGACCACTGGTTTTTTTTCATTGCGAAAGCAGTGACTCATTTTTACATTTTTCTTGATTGTTTGAGTGATCAAATTTGATATATACTGGCATAATTTTCAAATTATAGCATTTCATGAGTTTGAACTGGACCATCGAGCAACAGAGGCAACTCGTTATATGCAGAAGACTCTTGGCTGCGATAGCACAAGTCTGGTTCGTGAAGGTTGGTCGTGCAGATGCAGAGCTGAGATATACTTCGCATTGTTAACGGCTCTCAATTTTTTTAGATGAAAGAATTGGTTGAAATTGCTCGTGGAAGGATTTATGCGGATATAGCAGAAGAGCTTGGCATTCCACATAATGCCGTGTGGAATCACGTGCACAATGACGAGGAAGAAAAAAATTGAAAAAGGTGCCCCACGAACTGAGTTAAATGAAAACACGTCTGGAATTCTGTTATTCCATGCCAGTATGATATATTTTTACTTATGATGAAAATGGATTCTGTACAACAGAAAAAGATAGCTGCAATGGCTGGACAACTATGAATCCCTTCGATACTGCCAAAAGCCCATTTTCACTCGAAAAAGATTACTAACGCTTGGTAATTTGTGTAGGATTAATTCACTAATCTTCATAGAACCTGCTGCAGTGATCTGAGGTGTACGCTAAAGAACGGAAATAGTGAATCAAAAACTACGGACAAAATAAACAATGCTAGTCAGTTTAAAGGGTCCTATCATCAGCACGACGATGCCAAATATCACGTTGCAGAGATCACTTTGGAGTAAATTGTCAGTTTAAGAATATCAGAGCCCTTTTCCATCCGCCATATTCTCGAGACCTTTCGCCAACAGACTTTCTCTTCCTTTCTCTTGGCAATTTCCTCAGAGAGAAACACAAATTAAAACCTTATTGCAGCAGTTCGTTGGTTTCAGAAGCTCATACTTTAATGAGAATGGAATACATGCACTTGGTTAACGTTGACAAAAGTGTATTGATGGTAATAGTAATTCTTATTTTGAATAAAAATATTGACTTTCAGTGGAGTTTTGGTGTTAGAAAAATAAACAAGAATTTTTAAGATGTTCTCTTTAATAGACTGGGTGCACTGGATTTTTTTTTTCACTCTTATTTCAGTATTTGCGTTGGTTGTGGAATTTATGAAAGTCGTGGTAAAAATTAATTTTGCAATTGTTCACTTGGTTTTCATTAAAGTGATCGTTTTATTTCAGGCGTCAAATTTGGAACTTCTGAAATATTTTTTATAATCAAATTTTCTTTTAAAATTTCTTTTGTAATTATCGATAGGTTTGTCGCTTCTCTTTACTCAAATTTTTTATTCTGGCGCTGACAACGAAATTACAAAGTGTTAAACGGTTTCCTTTATTATTAGGAATATTAGCTATTTTTATTTTTAGGCGAATCATTATTACATTCGAATTCGACAGAGTTTAAATCGAGCTGCTGAATTTCTCTCAGATCTAGCAATGGTTTGTTTCTTGCTTTTTTCATATTTTGAAATCGATTTCAATTAAAATTGTGATTTCCATTCCTTCTCAATTTTTATTCGAATCCATTTTTTGAAATTTTTTCGTTTCAATTTGTGATATTAAATCTTTTTAATCGGATTTTCTAATCTTTTTTATTTCATCGATTATTCGTAGTTCGAAGACTCGTAAAAAATTATTGTATAGTCCTAATCAGTAATATTATCAGTTAGCTTGTTGCAGTTTTAAAACGGTTGATATCTCTGCACTGAGCTCATTTGATATCGAATTCTTTTCTTATAGAAAAGTTAAACCAAAAAAAATTTTCGATTATAGTTTGACTTTATTTTTTTCCTATGATAGGAATTAATTTTGTTCTTAAATTTAATTTTATATTTGGAAACGTTTCTTTTTGACTTGATTTTTAATATTTCACCGAGTAATCACTATTCTTCGCGTTTCTTTTGACTCGTTAGAGTTTTATGTGAACATAAGGATAATTTCTTGATAGTATGAAAGGTTGCAATTTTCAGCTGCACGCGATGCTGATTTGTATATAAGAAACATTTGTCGACTTACAGATGACACTTAGTTTTTTGTATAAAATAGCATGTTTTGAAGTGAGGTATCGAAATCTTCGTAACATAAACTAACCATATTCGCATGATTGTGTTGTCATATCTTTTACTGTGGCTAATAATAGTTGTTTTTAGTCAACATCAGGAATATCAGTGAATCCAGAAGTTCCAGTCGTGTTTTTGCAGTTGTCTGAAGGGAAGAAATTTCGCTATATTTGCTTCAGAATTGATGTAATTTTCTTTTTCGTTTATATTTAAAAACTTATTTGGCGCAGGCTTACTCGTTATTAATATTATTTTCTTTTTCTGTCCTTTTGTTTTCTTTAGCCAAACAAGTAAAGTGCAGTTGTCATTTGCAGGATAGTGAAATTCTTGTAGATACAGCAGTTGCTGATGACGAGCTTAATTTAACAGTAGAAGACTACGTGAATGATTCGAAAGAGGCATTTGAAGTGTTTATTCAGGATCTGAAGAAAAGAACTAATAGTTTGACTGATTGTCGCTATGCGGTTTTTGACTTCAAATTCATGATAACGAGATTGGGCGCAGGCAGTTCAAAAATGGATAAAATTCTTTTTTTTCAGTTGTAAGTTCTATTTTTTCCAATTTGATGTAATTTACTAAATTATATTTTGTTGCAGATTTGGCAGCCCAACCTAATTTTTAAAATTTTATTTGTTTTGTACTGTTTTTACAGATGTCCTGATGGAGCGACTGTCAAAAAGAAGATGATTTATGCTTCTTCTGCTGCAGTTATTAAGTCTGCTTTAGGAAGTGAAAAATTCATTTCTTTTCAGGTAATTTTTTTTCTTAGTTCTTAAAATTGGTAATAATCTTATTTAAGAAATTTTGCAATTTTTTTGAATCGTTCATATACCTGCATCTCGACAGTAATAAATGCCGAACGAATTCTAGCATTAATTTTTTAGATTTCCGAGGAATCGGAGATGTCGCATCGAGATATTCTATCGAAACTAAAAGCCAAATATGGTGACCATTAAAGTATCGGTATTATTGTTCGTGTTTGCTCATGTGTAACTTTTCTTTTCACTTTTTTTTCTAATACGTGCCAGTTGATTGTTTCAGCGATATTGTAACATTGCCTATAAATTTTTTCCGATTGCATTTTTGCATTTAATACTAATGGAAGGACGTGACTAAAAAAATTCCTTTGGTTATACTCTTTGTGGTTTAGTTTTTCCCGAGGTGCTTTTTCCTTTTTAATAAGACTCTTTTAACGAAGTTTTGTGAATGCTACAAATAAGGTTGTGCCGTGCTTTTTTCTTTAGTTAAAAGTTATTCAATTTTTTATTGTTTTTTGTAGCTTAATTCGTTTTAATTATCGTTATTCGTTTCTATGCATTGCTTCATTATTTTATTTACTTTATATTTGCTGTTTGATTATAATCGAAAAAAATTCGAAGCTGAGATAATGCAGTTTGTTGGATAATTAGATTGGAGTGCTGAATGACATAAATGAAGGAATCATTGCGTGTCTATTCAGTTTAAGAAAATCATAACTAAGGAAATAATGATGATTTTTTTCTGCGACTTTTATCTGATATAAATCGCGTAGGACAAAATTTGCAGTTTTTTTAGGTTTACAGTTCGTGGTTAAGGCATGACAAATGCTTTTTTAAAAAAAATGGGATTGTGGTTGTGATGAAGGATTTTTTATTGAAAAGCTAGATGCCAGGTAATGCGGGGGCGATAATCTTTTCAATTGTTTGAAAGTATGTGCTTTGTTGTTAAATGTTAAGAAAAATAATTTGATTCATGTTGGGGTAGCCTGTTTAAACAATGGAGGGTTTGATACAGTCTTATCTTAGACCAAATGATGGGAGGTTTTTTCGGAGAATTTCAGTAGATGGTGTTTGAAAGGATCCAGTTTTGAGGCACCATCGTTATAAGCTAATGGGCGATAAAATCTGAAAATAGTGAATAAGATGTGTTGAGACGACTTTTTTGATGAATCTGATTCGAAATGGGGCAGGTTTCCGTCAGAGAGAAAAAAATCTATGCTATGAAAATTTTACCAATTACCTGAATTGTTTTTTTTTCAGGCATCAGGGGTAAAAATTGACGCAAGCTGTAAGAAAGCGTATGATGATTTGCATAATAAACATCTTCATTCATACATCATCTTTCGAATTTCGGATGATGATACAACGATAATTGTTGATAAAATCGGTGACAAAGGGGCACCGTATTCGGCCTTTGTCGAGGTACCTTATTTTGGATTTCAGTGAGCCATTTATTGATTATATATCGCCTCGCATATTATATTGCCTCATTTTTATACCATTTTTGAACAACAATTTCGCCTGTACAATAATTGAATTTAAATGCTTTGTTCTTGCTCAAAACTTGTTTTTTGGTTATCAATTTTCACTTAGATTCTAATCCTTTAATGCCATCCTTTAATACCTTTAGGAACTTCGAAAAAGTGTCGGAGATGGTAAAGAATGCCGCTATGCAGCGGTCGATGTCGAAGTGCAGGTACAGCGACAAGGAACAGATGGTTCTTCTCGACTTACAAAAGTCGTTTTCGTGCAGTAGTTAGTTATAATTAAATGTATTATATTTTTAGAATTAGCAGTTGCACCATATGTGATTTGACAGGTATATGCATTTTTGCAGAAATATTTCATTTTTCGAAAGCATTTGTCGCTTTTCCGTGGTTCTTTTAACGGCACATAGTTTTCCTGCTAACTACTAGACTGAGGTATTGCCAGAGAACAGAAATAAAATAGATGAGTGGCAATCGCCACTCGTTCTGTTCAATGGCTGCCGCTTCTGTCATAAATCTTATTCAGATGAAAGGAATTTAAAAACCAAGAATGGTTTTGAATATTCTATATTTTGAATATGTGCACTGCTTAAAGATTTTCTTTAAAGGTTTAAGCTTTTATTTCATAGGTTTTTATTTTTTTATTCTTTTTCACTCTACTTTTTCAACCATACTAGGTTTGCATTTCCTCATATATTCATGGTTTAGGAAATGAAATAAAATGGTTTAGCAGCATGCGAAACAGAAGCACGGTCCACGGTCCGAGTTAATCTGGGCAATTTTATTTTTGTGTAAAATAAAATTATTAAAAATTAAGAATTTAATATCTAGATGGGAAATCTTAAGCGAAACTAAAACATTAGGACAATGATATATGTTTGCAGTGGAGGTTCGGCTATAAACGTTTCAAAATTATTTGTCGTCCCATCCATAATAACCAATTTGAAGCTGTTAATATCTATGCAATATTTGGATAATGCCTTCATTTTCAGCTCTAACTCTAATGCATCCTGAACTTTCTAATTGTAATTGTCTCAGTAGCTATTTTTTGTTTCACGAAAATTCACAGTAGATTTTTATTGGTCACACTAGACTTCGCATGCCTCAAGATGCATTTTCTGTTTTTTTTTCTGAATCTGCCGTTCATGTTCTTAATCTTCTACCTCTTATTTATGGTTTATCAACAATGTTTTTTCCTGAATTTTTCAACAGCTTTATCGTATAATTTCAGATTGCTATTTATGTAGTTGTTTATTTTTAGCTGTCCGGACGATGCACCAGTACGTAGGCGTATGTTATACGCTTCCTCGGTACGTGCTTTGAAAGCTACACTTGGTTTGGAAAGTCTAATGCAGGTGCAAGCTAGCGATCTGTCCGATATCGATGAAAAAGCTATTAAACATGAACTGATGAGCCACCAACGTACATAAATTTAAATGAGATTGATCGATGATAAAGCTCAAATTTACGCGTAATCCAGCGCGAAAAATATCATTTTGAGTTTTTCTTTTTTTTTTCATTCTTTAAGCCCATAAGTTTTTAGAATGTGCTATTCACGTTCACTCTTTTGGGTTCGTCGATTCATTTATTACTTTTCTTATCTTGCAGATTATTTTTAAATGCATTTCTCATCAAAATAGAAATTGTTATTTTTTTAAAAATGATACTTGGTGTGTTGATTAATGGATTAATTAGTCTTACTCATTTATAAAGTATTTTTCATATATCTTCATGAACGCATCCATTTCATTGAAATAATGCATGGTGGAAATTCTATACCAGATGTGATTCATTCATTCATGATTCATGTGTTTTTATCTTTATCAATATATTTTATAAACAGTACCACTCGTTAAATGTTTTTTAATAAAAATAATAATGCCACTGAGAATAATGACAATGATAATGGCAAGAGTTAGAAGAAAGTATAAAATAGAAACATTTTGAAAGGTTTCTTAACTCTATTGTAATTATTTATAACGACGGGCAAAGGTAGGATTTCTATCAAACTCTTTTTAAAACAAATCAGGTTATCTCAGCTTACCTTATCCTTTACCTTTTTTAAAAATTGTATAAATTTCAATAAGCCAACTATAATTGCTTCATGTTTCGCTTTGTCATTTTCAGTCCACATTTTTGTGACAAATTTCTCAAATTTTGTGACAAGGTTTTGCAGAAAAAAGAATTCCTTATATGCACAGATTTTTGATCTTGGGCGGAAAATATCTTGCTGAATGTTTGATCCGAATGTGACACATATGAAATCATATGAAATGAAAAGGTGAAAATTGATCCATGGTATTTTTCTTCAGCTCTTAATTCTCAATTAATTATTTCAATAATCATCTTCTCATAGCTCGCATCAACATTGGTTAAGCTTCTTTCTTCGTTCCATCCACTGAATTTAATAAATTTCACAAGCTAATCGCAAGTTCGATATTAAATGATCATATCAAATCGCCAATTGTATACAAAATATGTGGAAATATGTGGTATCTGTTCCTTGTAATGGAAATCTTGAGGACTAGTGAAGTACCATCAGATAAAATACTTGAAGAAGCGAATAGAGTCTTCAAAATAATTCCTACTACTATTATAGAACCCAGTGAGCTGGTGTACAGCATAACCGCTTTAATTCGAGAAATGCTTGGAATATAGAATCAAGAAAAAATATAAATATTACCCTGTGAGGCTGAAGAATCAGACAGAACACAGCGCAGAGAACTCAGCTGACGGAAATTACAGAAAGGCGTGAAGAATAGGATCGGGATATTGGAAAAATATAAGGGGTCTACTACTTCAGAAATCCTACCGACTGCTAAACAGAGATTCATAGATTTGGCTATCACGCTGAGTAGTAGTCACTAGAGAAGAAGGGTCCAAAAAGATATCATGTTCCCCAAAGAATCTTCGACTTTCGACTCCCAACTGAAATATAATAACATGGTGGCAGCAGAAACTAAAAAATATTGGAAAGAATATAGAGAAAAGGAAAATTTGTATCATCTATGTGGCTGCAGAATTTGACAACAAACAAGAGCAATCTTCCTGAGCAGGAACCAGTTACCATCACAGTAGACATCTAAGATTAAAAACATGAAAAGCTGAACAAAGTTGCAAAGTCAACAGAGCCCTAACGAAAATGGAACTCAGCCATCTCTACATGGATAACATTAAGTTATACGTTAAAAAAAGCGAACGCGTGATATTGATTGACTCGATTATTAATCTCTTTCTTATTTTCTTATTTTTCTTCTTATTTCTTATTTTGGTTGACTAGCTCTGTTAATGATGAAGTTAATTTTCTTAATAGTACCATTTTATACCTTATAGAGCAATATATCCTTTTGAGAAAAAAAAACATTGGATCAATTCCTATTTTTCTAAAATTTCTTTAAAAAAATAAGCTTTACAATGAATACAAATTGACCGAATTGCCAAATGACCTCTCTGCATATAAAGAATGCTTAAGAAGTTTCCACAAATAAAGAAGTGCAACTTTTAAATATTAATAGAAATTCTTTCTGGACCTACATTAAAATAAATTTAGCAAATCTACGTAAACAATTAATTCTATAGCATAATGATAATGTGATCACCTCTGATATTGATTTTGCAAGTGTATTTGATCAATATTTTTCAAGTGTATTTGTTGATGAGAGTAATATTCATATTTCTTGTTTTAACGTAAATCGAATTTGTTGCATTTCTCTCGGTGAAGTTAAAATAACACTACTGGATGTTTACGATGCCTTAAATAGACTTAAGCCGTCCATTTCAGCTGGTCCCGATAATATTCCACAAATAATTTATAAAAAATGTGCAGTTTCACTGAGTCTTCCCCTATTTCTAATTTATAAAAATATGAAATCTGGCCTTAATCCCAGAAGTTGCTCACTTATCTTGATGCCAATAATTTAATATCCACCTATCAACATGGCTTTTGTACGAAAAAATCTACCATTTCTTCACAAATACTGGCAAATTCTTTCGATTGGTCAGCATCAACTGACAATGGAAAAACAGTATCAGCTGTGACCTAGATTTGGCCAGAGCTTTTAGTACTATTAGTATTATATTAGTAGTATTATGTATGTGCCAACAACATTCGTGCTGGTATGATACCTGTTAAATCTGGCGTTCCCAAGGTAGTTCTATTGCGCCATTGCTTTTTTATTATATATAAATGGTATCACCAAAGTGGTGCTAAATTCTACCATCTAGCTTTATGCTGATGATTATAAAATTTATTATTCTCATAGTGGAACAGATAGCATATCTCCACTGCAATAGGATCTCAACAGAATAGCCAACTGGGCTTCATGATAGGCAAATTATCCTTTCCTTTCAAAAATGTAGCGTTCTTCACATCAACTCTAAAGGATTCGATCTTCCTAATATTTTTATGAATGCTAATATAATCAGTAGAGTCTCAGAGTCATTTTGACATTTCCGATCTTGGAATAACCCTGGATTAAAATCTCGATTTCGACTTTTACTGCAGAATCATGGTAAAGAAATCCTCAAAGACACCAAATTTTAATTTTCTTTCGTTTAAGAAAAAAACTGTAGGTTTTCTTGTCAAAATCTACAATGCGTTCGTTCGGCCTCTTCTTGACCACAATATTACCTGTTACTACCTGAGATACCGTAAGTCAAGTTAAAATAGTTGAACTCCAGAAATTTTTTGTACGTCGCCTCTCTCCTAATAGCAATTTTAATTATAAAACATAATTTCAACAATTCAACCTGTATTCGCTCTCAATTCGTCGAATTAAACAAGATTTAATTTATATTATTTTTATAAAATTCTGTATGGTTATGTTCAAATAGATTGTTCAAAACACTATAATTTTAGGCTAAATTTGAACTCAACAAGATAGTATTTATTTATTTCGTTAATTTTTGTCATATTTTCTTTTTTTATCATTAATTTTCATTGTTTGTTATTTTAACTGTTATTATTAGTACATGCACATGGCGTTTGCCGTTCTGCTTGCTTGGTTTTTTTTTCAATAAATACAATAAATATTGTAGTAGGATGTAAGATACAGGCATGAACAGCATACATTGATAAGTGCAACCTAGCATTTCACAAGAATACCTGCTCAATATATGGCTTATATTTCACCATCCAGACAGAGATATTGGCCAATCAACATAATACCGCTATAACAGACCAGAAATCAACACTAGTATTAAATACAGTAATACCAAACGATAGGAACATTAGGAACATTAGGAATATAGGAAGCTAAAGAAATGCTAGAGGCTGAACTGGAAAAGATGTAGAAAGTGAAGGCAAAAGTAGTCCCAGTGGTGGTAGAAGCACTAAGGGTTCTCTTATAAAATAGAAAAGTGGCTCCAGTACATTCTAGGAAAACGTCATGGATCTCTGTCCAAAGGTGTATTGCTTAGAACAATTAAGCGCAGAACCCTCAAGCACCCAGGCCTCTGGTAGGGAATCCAACGTTGAGCGTGATCCTTATCACCTACAAGGAGTGGTATTGTCAAGTCTGTCTGATTGATCAAATAAACTTTTCAAAAATTTTTCAAATATTTGTCTGATAATGATCTAAGCTAATATTCGTTTTTTTCTTTCATTTATAAGAGGCGTTCACCGATTTTTTATAAATCTGTGGCATGTGAGCAGAGAAACTCATTTTAAACTTTCAATTCATTCAATTCATTTATTGATGAAGAAGATTAAATATTTCAGATCGATAAAAACCAGTCTATTAGCAGTTTTACTCATTAGAATCATTCTAAAATCCTTATAATGAATCTTCAAACAGTGATTAAATTTAGAACCAAAAAGCAGCAATCTGCCTTAAAACTCCAATCAAATTTATCATCAGTAAGTATAGTTACGTTTATAAAATTGGTTTGTGAATAATAATTAATCCTCTTTTTTTTAACAGCATTTTCTCTCATTGCTTAGGAAAAATTAAATGACTTTACATGAGTGCCCGATCGTTTTTCGTTCAAAATTTTTGCTTTATTATCTCATCGAATTTATTCTTCCTACACCAAGTTTCAATCCAAGTTTCTACTTGTTTTATTTTTAATTTAATTTATACATTTTATTAACTGTAACCAAGCTTAATCGATTTATTATTTTAGCATAAATATTATCTCACAAACTTTAGTCAGCTTTGAGCGAATTTCGATAAATATTACTTTTATTATTTTCAGTAATAATTTATGAAACTTTCTTCCACGGTTATAAGATTAAATAACCACTCAAGTTGAAGAAAAATCATAGAAAATCCAACTCAACCAACTGAAGTTAGGTATTTTCATTTTTATAAGCAATTTATTCCCAAATATAGCAATAAAAATCAAAAGAAACAATTAACAAGTATAAAAAAATTATAAAAAGCTATAAATGATAGTTTTTTTTGCAACAACTTTTAATTGATAACTTCTCTAACGTACCTATCGATGAGGGCATTTCGTTAAATAACGACAGTGATAAGAATTGAAATACTTTCAACAAATTATAATATCGTTTATTGGCACAAGTTTCATAGTTCATAAAACTCTTTGGCACAACGGAAATACAGCGTATAAGAGCTATCCATACATTCAAAAACATTTAAAAAACGTTTTCTCCTGAGGATGAGGAGAAACATTTGTGAAAATTCGCAGCAATAACTTCAAATCATAAAATTATCAACGGATCGGATATCTTAAAAAAACCAATTTTGATTTTTCCTCCTTTTCGGAAAAATGCAAATAGAAAGGACGATGATCTGTGAAAAATGTGAAATGAAGTTGAACTACAATATAATAAAATCCAAGAAAGCGACTAAATTGGGTGGACGGTGATGAACTTGTAAATGGCAACGTCCCAAAAATATAAAGTCCATCCAAGCAAAATCTTGCACACTCAACTATTGGGCGTCACTTTGTGTCGTAGCGTGTGTGTTGGTAAATTGTGTACATCAACAATGTTAAATGAATGATAATAAGCGCGAAGTGAAATCGAATTTTCTTTAAAAATCGTTCTTCATACATATTATACGTCCATTTCATTTTTGCCTCGTTCGCCGTTTAGGCAACGCAGCCAACGAACCTGCAGACTTTTCAGATTTCCACCAGTCAGATTTTTCAAAATAAACTTTGAAGTCTACTTTTAGCAATAGTGTAAACTTACTAAATTGTGCACTACTTGTCAAAAAGCCAAGAAAGAAAAAACTAATATTGTGCCAAAATCGGTATAAAAAGGATATATCAGAAATACTTGGTCTTTAGTCAAATGTTCGAAACGTTTCCTTTCAAGGCAAGCAGCTAACCTTCTTGGAGAATCATTGATCTGGAAAGATCTTCACCATATGCATTTCTTATTGTACAAAGGTATTCGCCAAGATGGTTTTCTTGGAGACACAAAATTGACAACTGCGATGTTGTCGAGGTAGATATTATCGTGATACCATTATGTCCAGATATTATTTTTGTGCCACTATGATACCATGAAACTACCGGCTGTGGGCTTCCCTCAAATCAATGCTATCATAAAATAAAAGTGACCCATTTACGTATGCTGATTCACTCTTCGAACTGCAGCGAAAATTAATTTGCTTATTAATATTATACCAACTATGTAACAGAAATTCAGAAAAAATACCGTGAAAGCGCAATTCAGCATTGCCTTTTGGCCCATTGCACACTGGACGGATATAGGCAATAATGTAAATTTTGGTAATACTGATTCCAAACTAGAAATTGAACGGTTTAAATACTTTTTTGTGGCTATAAATAGATTTCAGTCATAACTATTTGCCGAATATAATCATATTATTTTAAAATAATAATTGGGATGCTTTGTCTGAAACAACTTGATCACAAACTTAGTATGATTTTAATCAGTTTATTTCAGGCACCAAAATCATGTCAAGCAAAAAAAAAGCAGCTATTATAGGGACCTATATTACCAAGCTAATTGTGAAAATTGAAAAAAATTTTCTGCGATTTCAAAAATTTACTCTTTTACTTCAGCAACTTTAAGTTCGACTATAGCAGTTGCAGAGCCAGCATAATTAGCTGCATTTAGTTCATATTTGCCTTCATCATCACAATTCACATTAAATATTGTTAGAATAGTTTGCTCATTTACATGTATTATCTGTAAAAAAGAGCATTTGCTTTTTAAAAGTTTTGATAAAAAATGTAAATGAACGACCACTTACCTGATATTTCTCGTTCGGTATTATGGGTTGATTGTTTCTTGACCAAGCAATTGCAGGCTCAGGATGACCGCGTAAAGTCACTGTAATTTGAGCATTTGCTCCAGGATCAACAGTAAGACTTTTCGGTGCTTCAACAATAAGCGGAGGATTAAGAAATTCGTTCGTACGTTTTTCTAGAAACATAGTTCAAAACGTTATAACCGAGTTAAGTAATCTAAAATTTTATAAGGACCATATGCAAAAGTTTTCAAATTATATCTTTCTTTTTTTAAGTAAAAATGATTTATTTGACGCGAAATTTTGAATTGACTTTTAAATCGAATTAAAAAATACAGTTTTCGCAAAAACTTTTCTGGATGAATAATGACATACAAAAAGTCCAAGAATTTCCATGGTATCGAACTCAAACAATTTAGAATTCTTACTAATATTTCGTCTGACAATTTCATAAAATTTTGCTTACCCGAGACAACAAATCTCATATTACATTTAGCAAGCCCATAATCATTTTTAGCTTCACACACATAATCCCCGCCATCCTCAGGAAATACATCTGCGATAACTAAGCGTAGAACATTACCAACACGAACATGTTTGAATGCGCTTGAATTGTTGATTTCAACCTTGTTATGAAACCAACGTATCCTAAGGGGCTCAGAGCCTTAAAAAACATTCAGATGTCTTCTTTTTATTATAATTTATAATTTTATCTCCGAATTACGTTTTACATTAGAATGTTATTTTTTTGCACCTTCTAACATTAGGAAGAGTTTTTTTTATTGAGGTTATAAAAACTGGCAAATTCTTATAATCTCAATAAAATAGGCAAGTAATCCAAGCTTTAAGAATATATGGTCGAAAAAAAAGAAGAAGAGCTCAACTTTTCTGTTTAAAAAGTGGTACCATTATTGGCTAATACTGTGAAAAATAATGAGCCAACGACTGACCACTTACCATGAAATTAAAAGATCAAAAGTTAAAAAATGGTGTTATAACATTATAACATTGTCATTTTAACAAAGTTGTAAATGCAATACCCTCAACTAATTCTGCTATTAAAGTAGCTTCATCACCATCTTTAGCTTTAATAACGTCCTTGATTTTTTCAAGGAATTTTGGAGGTATACCATCGAGTGATTTTAGAGAGGTATTTTCATTTTTGCTTACATCCAAGTGCATCTGAAAGCGTAAGATATTATGATATTATGTCAAGATGAATGAATTAATTTTATTCAAGAAATTAGTAATATTATTAAAAACAATTCAGAATAGTGCAGAGAAAACAAAAACTAACTGCAGTCTTGGCTTCTCCTTGTTGATTTGTCATAGTACAGCAATATTTGCCTGAATCCGCTGCGGTTAATTTATGGAATATTAAAGTTGATGTTTCACCATCAAATAACATTGCATAGCGATCATGCTGAGGTTTTAAAACCGTTCCGTTACGAAGCCATTGTACTGATGGAGTTGGATATGCCAGTACACTACATTGGACGGTTAATGAATCACCCACATCAGCCTGGATTTATTTTTTAAAGAAGAATTATCGGAATTCAGAAGAAAAAATTGCTACTAATTCAATTCCACAATAATCAAATCTACCTTTAATCGGCCAGGCAAAACTTCAATAAACGTTGGAGACTTGAATTCTTTCTTGGAATATTTACGAGCTGTTTGATCAGATGAAGTCACTTCAATCTCTGAAGTACACGTCACTAGGCCTTCGCTATTTGATGCAGTGCAATTATAGAAGCCACTGTCTATATGCGAGACGTGGTGGACCTGTAATAAATTAAATAGTAAATTTACAGAAATACAATAATAATATGAACAATAAATTCCTCATGAATATCCTTGAAACCTAATATAGCATCAAAAAATTTATTACAAAAACATTGACTGTCTGAGAAAATAAGGCGATGCCGGAGTAAACATTTTTTGTGAGAAATAAATAAAATTGTTTAGAGGGAATCATCAAGTTTTTTGCTCGGATATATTCGTTCTTTGCTTCGATTGAACGCAAAGCAGGAAAATTTCAATTTCCTTAAAGGGAATATAATCTGTTATTAAAAATGAAATCCCAATGGTCCACTAGTATTCTATCCTTAATTGAATCTTTGGTGAAGGGGTCCACTCTCGAATTCAGTCAAACCAGAAATAGAAAATGTTGTTAATAGAAGGAGAATAGCTTCATTTACTTCAAGATAGTAAAAATCGCCATCGTTATAAATCGAGTATTTGTTGCCGGTTTCAAGGACTACTCCTAACTTATCCCAATGGACAACAGCAACTGGATTTGCAGAAATGGCAGTTTTTAATCGCAGTGATTTGTATTCCTCAATTTCCTTCTTTGCTTTTGGTTTAACCATGAATTTTGGTCGACAAATTTTTTTATTTCTTATATTTATCGCACCGCGAACTTCTTCAAGAGCTGCAAATTTTTTTCTTATACTTAGTATAAATTTATTTCAACAAATTATCTTTGGTAAATCTCATTTTTTGGCAAATGTTTTTTCACTCTTTTTTCATATTTAACAAGCAATAGCAATGCACAAAATTAACTAATTTTATTTAATTTCAATCTACTTGTGAATTCAGCAACGTGAATTGATTCCTCAGCGTTCATAATTGACTTCATGACATCGTTTGCAGCAGTTGAATTACCTTGCATTCTGTGACGCTTTCCTTAAGAAATACGGAGATAAAGAGTTATATAATTTTATAATTATGTTCAATATTGATATATGTTTTGAGAAAAATAGAAACTTTACATAATACGCAGAAAGCATACTTCTGGATATTTTACCAGCCAAAGCTGCTGAATCTCCTTCAATGAAATCGAGATCTTCAAGGCCGCTTAGAAAACTTGGTGCTGCACCTTTCTTTTTGGGTTGAACTTTTAAATAGTGTAAAGAATGCTCATTCGAAATATCCTGTAAAAAAAATTTTTTTTCAAGAGTTTTCACCATTACTGGTTAAACTCCCTCCGCTGCCTTGTCGCATTGGACAAAGAGTTTCTTTCTTTAGCGATAGAAATACAAATGAATCGCCAGCATCACCAGATTTTTGGTTGCAGGGAATAGAACCTTAGCATCAGAGCTCGGATTGAGCAACAACCCACTAAGCTATCCCCAAAAAAAATTCGGAACGCTTCACGAATTTCCATATCATTCTGTAAAATTATTTTAGGAAAGTAGTGATTTTAAAATTATTGAAGAAAAGCAGATAATTAGGAGTAGAATCTTAAATTCAGTAAGCTAAAAAATCATCATAAGCAAATATATTGAATCTTACGATATTTAAGTCACTTTCATAGAGCTGTTTCATTTCTTCATTCGCATTTACATCAAAGTGCTTTGGTACTTTAACAGGTAGCATTCTTTTTTCTGATCCTAAAATTTATTTTTTAAAATCTTCCAAGCATTAAAGTTAAACCATGTTTTAATGTTATTTAAACTTCTCAGGTTCTGAAATCACTAAAAATTCTTAACCGTTTCAATAAGTTTCGAACCTTGCAGGAAAACGGGAGGCTCCTTATTTTCTTTAACTTGCCCAACATTTACTGACGCGTTAGTTCGTACAACACCATATACGTTAGATGCTTCGACAGAATAATTGCCAACATGACGGATACCCATCTTTGATATTCTCAATTCACATCTGCTTTGTGATATATAGACTATCTGTAATTTGAAAAATTTGAGAGGTGATAAAGTCAACGTTCTTTTGATTATTTCCGTTTACATCTTTAGTACCTTCGACTTATCCTATTTAAGCTGTTCTTACCTTATTTATCTCCTAGAGAATCGAAACATTATTATTATACCCAATCTAGAAAAATTTTTTCATATTTTAGTTTCCCTCATTTTTGCGATGTTTTAAACGATCATCATCGTGCAACAATTTTATATGCGTTGAGTAAACTAGCAGCAACGAACCTGAACCGACTTATCTTCGACGACTTTTTGATCAAAGTGATACCACGTTAATTCTGGCAATGGATGACCGCCTACTTCGACTTCCAAGACAGTGTAGCTTCCAAGTGGACACCATATATCTCTCAAACATCGCACGAAATGTGGTGGACCAGCAGGTTCTTCAGAAAGTTCTGAATGAATGCACATATAATTGCGTAATTGGATAAATTTTTTGAAAATCTCTTGTCCTGATTGTTTTAAATTGAATGCTATTTGGATAAACTGTCACATGTTGAACACTAATTCTTAAGAAATTCTTACCTCCAACTAATACATAACATTGCGATAAAGCTTTTCCATGTTCGTTGATCGCCAAGCATTGATATGTTCCTTGTTGAGCGCTTACAACAGATTCAGTTCTTAATTCACAATCATCACCTCGACGACATTCACTCCATGCTGATCCAGGAATGGTTTTCAGTGCAACTGTTCGACGTGAATCATCAGTGAAAAACCACTGAATTAATGCTATCATAAGTAATGAAGGGATAAAATCCTCAAGCTTATTTTAAAAAATTAGGACCATTTGACTTGAAAATCAATTAATCTACCTTCAGTTGAGGTTCCGGTGCTCCTTTAATAACACATTTTAATGATACTGGGTGACCAATCGAAACTCCTATATCCATCAGATCAACTGTAAATTGAGGTGCAAGACTTTGCATTTGACGACCCAAACGTGCTGAAAAAACTGGAATTAACAAATTAAAAATAATTTAACACAGCGAAGCTCTTGCAAATATGCTTGAAAACTAAAAATAAAAACATGAAATTGGAAAGATAAAAGTATTTTGATAAAATGGAGTTAACACCTACCATGAACAGTAAGTTGCGTTTCCACAGACGTTTCACCCTCTGAATTAGTAGCAATGCAAGTGAATAAACCAGCTGTTTTTGCAGTCGCACAGTCAACAAACAATACGGATTCACCATCACTAGTTAAATGTATTCTGTAGAGACGATTTATTCTCGTAATCTTGAAAATAAAATAAATCAAATCAGTTTTTAACTCATTATAGCCAGAAACCCAGTAATATGTCATTTCCATTATATGCATGAGATCTGTACCAGCAATCAGTTCTAAAACTTATTATTATGCATAAGGTTATATTTCTGCTTCCATTTCCATTCGACCATAAAGAAATTTTAGAATATGGATTGACCTCGCAATGGTTCTCAATGGTACGCAATGGTACTTAGATGCTTTAACTTGATATCTTAATAGATGCTTATAATTTTAATTATAATTAATTTAAAATTATACATATATAATTTTATATAATAGAAGTTAAGGCGAGCGGTTGATATATAATGTCATAACAACATTTGGTTCGAATCGCAGCCAAAAGCCTCTACCTTTTTGGTGGGATCTATGGGCAAGGCTCCCTTAATGCTAATCAACCTCAAAGTGAAAGTGTCGCATACTAGAATCGTACCGGCTTGGACATCGTTCGGGTTAACAAGGTCTGCGTCAGAGGCTAAGGAAACAAAGTTATCTGATGATAAGTGGGCTGCTGGAACCGAGTGAGTTGTGGAACCAGAGCAGTCTGGTGTCAAGAAGTTATTGGTGCTTATATAGAACAAGACAAAATAGTCTGAAACTAATGGAATGCTATAAAGGTAGACATGATGAAATGGGTTATAGGAAGGAACTGTGGAAAAAGGACCTAGATCCACATTAACTGAGAAACAACTAGTGGTTCAACACTTCAACATAAGGAAAAGGAAGCTGCTCTCTCAGCTGAAGATGAATTAACTCTTCACTACATCTAAAATAATCTGAAAGAAGAAGAAAGGGATATATATGCAACAAGTTGCGAAGCAAAAAAATGCCTTGCACTCTGATGCAAAAAAGAACATGAAGCAGAAATTCAAAAATAAAATAGCTGTAATTAACCATCTAGACCAAAGCTAAGCGATATATCACCGGATAATATAATATAATTTAATCAAAATGATACCCTAGCAACAATTCCTACTGCCATTAAAAGAGAAAAAAACTAATGAATTAGTATATGCCACATCCACTGAAATTCTCGAAATGGTGGAGTATAAAATGGAGAAGAATGCAATTCGTCCATGGAAAAGCAAGCTGGAAAAAAAGATCAGAGTAAAACGCAGAAAAATTAGCCAGTTGACAGAATTACAGAAAGGTATGGAGAATAAAAATAATGATGCTCGGATGGTGGGAAAATACAAGGGCTACACCTCATCAGAAGCCTTCAAGATTGCCACTGCAACATCTAAGTATCAGCGAAGGACAAGACAAATCTTGAAGAGCCAGCTCAGTGGGAAGAACAAAATCCATGCCAATAAATATGTATGCCCTGCCAGTCATCAGGATGGAGCTGGCACTGTAGGATGGACAAAGGAAAGGATGAAGGCATGGCATGCTGATGCAAAGACTAGGAAACTTCTCAAAATGCACGGGAATTTCCATCACAAGTCCAGCACCTAAAGGCTGCACACCAGCTAGAAAGAAGGCTAGTGGGGCTTTATGAGCATGAAAGCCACTATCTTAAACGAAACTAGAAGCAATCAGAAATATACCGGCAAGATGGCACCAAAGAATGAGAGAATGTCTGAAGTATGTAAAAATATTGGAAAACGACCAAGCAGAGGAAATGTCATTACAAAACAAGGCCTTCCATGGATGAAATGCACCATGGGCAGATAGCTGAGATTGCTGGCATTGTGAAATCCTATCAGTGCTTGTAGAAAGTAGGATTAAAAGGCAATACTGTAGCATTAATTATAGTAGCACACGAGCAAGCGCTAACCACCAGACCCATCAAAAAAAGGACCTACTACACTAGATAAAGCTCTAGATGCAGATGTCTGCAAAAACGCCTCAGAAACAGTTTAACACATAGTGGTAGCGGCAGGATGTAAAATGCGAGCAAGAACAATATACACTGAAAGGCATAACCAAGTAGCTGGTATCATCTACAGAAATATCTACTCGGTATATGGCTAAGACTAGATTGGAGATTCCTCAGAAAGCCGTGGAGAATAAGGGACTTCTCCATCCAGGCAGATAAACAATTGCTGACCAGATCAACCAGATATCATGGTAGTAGAATCAGAAGTCAGCACTGGTGATAGATGTAACAATACCAAGACATACGAACTTTAGGAAGAAGGAATATGAGAAGATAGAGAAATACTACAAGCTGAAGGAGAAAGAGAAATAGAGGACATATGGAAAAAAAACGGCCAAAGTAGTCCAAGTGGTGGTTGTATATGTGGCCGTCAAATTAGAAAAGTTCTTTCGGCAGATTCTAGAAACAAAGTTGGAGATCCATGTCCAGAAGGGCGCGCTGAGATATTGCGCAGAACTCTCAATCTCCCAGGCCTCTGGTAGAAGACCTTACCACCCACAGGGAATCAAAAATGGATTTTCATACATATGTGTGTATAAATACAACAATAAATTCATTGATGATTGAGGAAGTGCCTGATTTTAAATACCTTAGATCTACTCTAATACCGAATGGCCAGGCAAAAGACGATATTATAACCCTGATTACGGCAGCAAAAAATGCATTCTTTCTATTGGCGCAACCTTTATGGAGCCGTCCTGAAATCATCATGAAAATCATCATCACGAAAGTTCGCGTTCATATAACTACAATTCGCCCGGTCTTGCCATATGGCTGAGAGATGTCCAATGAGAGTAGAGGATATTAAGAAGTTATCTGCTTTGACCACTCATGTCTAAGGTGCATTTTACGGTTCGTCGAGTGGATAAAATGTCACATGATCGCATTCACCTTCATTCAAATACCACTTGCATTAACAGTGCCATCACCGAGCTTCGTGTTTTATGGTTAACGCACGTTCTTCGTCGCCCTTTGCCCAGGAGCAGACACATATTTCGTTACTTACTGAACCATTTGTTGGGTGGTGTCAAAAGCGAGGAGGGCGAGTCGAGACCTGGACTGATACGGGCAAAAAAGATTTTAAATATATAGGTGGACCAGCAATATATGGACTTAGACGATGGAAAAAGAAATGGCTGCTATTACTATCGATAGTAGCATCAGACTACGCCGCTTGGAAAAGTCTTAACTTTGTAGCCTTTAGAAGCAGACTAATCAGTAATGGTGCGAGCTGTTAGAAGAAGAAGTATAAATATAATATTCATTAAAATGATTAACAATAATGAATGGGGAGTGAAATCGCTAGCAATTTTAAATATAACGATGAAGAAACTTTTTGAAATTTTTTTTCACCTCTTTTCCATCTTTTTTCCAAATTACACTTGGTGTTGGTTCACCTATGGCTCGGCTGATGAGTTTAACCTAAGAATAAAAAAAAAACTATAATAATTAACGCCAAAATTATAATTAAAAATTATATTAATAAAATTATAATTAATAATTAAAAAATTTTCTTAATTCCTTGTTAAATTTAAAATATTTAGTAAAGATATAAAAAATCTCTTCGGAAAGTATACCGATGCTCCTTGATCAACCTCCACATTTGTTGCTGGTGCCCTTGTAAATTTCGGTTTCATATATTGTTTTTCTTTCAAATCTGCAGTCACCAAATGAGCATCTGGCCCAGTTACATCAGCTACAGTTAATATGGTTTGAGTGCTATCCACGCCTAAGCTATTTTGAGCCGAGCACTGTAATTATACATATTTTTACAACAATAATGTTTTCACGTTTCTCATATTTCACGTTAGAAAAAGTTGTTAAAAGTTTGAAATATATCCGATGATGAATTAATGCAATAGAAGTGATTTTGCTTGGAAGGTGTTAGCATTATATTTAATGAAGTGCAAATACTTTTATGCTTAATCAAAACTTCTGGTCATTCCAAACACATACCACTTTTTTCCCTTATTTTAAAAAATTTACCAGATAGATTCCAGCATCATCACTGTTGCACTGTCCAATTGTTAATATACATATGCCATGGTCTTTAAAAGCAATTTTCCTTCTACGACTGCTCGTAATTCGTTCACCATCCTTTATCCATACAATCTCAAGCGCAATAAATATATATATATATATGTTTTAATTTACTTCTATATTATGTATTAAATGATTCGCTTTTTTGAATTCTCAGCTACAGAATCACATTTATGAAATGATTATATGTATACCTTAGGCTCGGGATTACCACAGACTTGACATTTTAGCTCGATATTCGATCCAGCGATAACTGTTTTTTCCTCAAGATATTTCTCAAACTTAGGTGCTGTTTGTGAAGTTAAATCGAAGATTGATACCTTAAATATTTGATGAATAACAACCCAATAATTAAGTTTCTCTTTTTCATTTTAATTTTTAAAAAATTCTCATTGATCCAGAAATTTGGAATCTTAGATAAGCCTGGAAAAACATCCATACCTCACAGGCAGAATAAGCCAGTCCAACTGTATTTGTAACAAAACACTTGTATGTTGCAGCATCATTAGCTTGAGCATTATGACAATGTAATTTATGAACTCCATTTTCAGAATGAAGATCAAAACGGCCTGATGAGCTGAAATATTATTAAAAATTATATAATATAATAATTATATAAAATTATATAATATAATAAAAATTATTATGCCGGGTATCTAATATTGACAAGTAGGATGTCAATACCTTATACGCTCATCATTCTTGAACCAGGTGGTTTGACTATTTGTTTGCGATGTTATTCTGCAGGTAAGTGTAAACTGTTGTCCAATATTTACTGCTTCATTAACAAGGTGCTTTAAAACCTCAGGAACTTCTGTTTTTATCTCTTTCAGAAGTTTGTCCAGTTTTTCCGTAACCTGAATAAAAATTCAAAAATTTAAACATATTATATGCGTTAATACAGCAATGTCTAAAATGGTCAGCAATAATTTAATTTATTTTTAATAATTATTGTCAATAATTATTTTTCTTATTTATCATCTATAGGTCATGGCTACTTACATTTCGTTCAAACAATTTGCTAGAGCTGCCTTCTTCGTTCTTCTTCGATATATAAACATTAATTTTTTCTGAAGCATAGCCAATATCATTTTGAAGATAACACGAATATACTCCATCATCCAATCCACTTATTGCTTTTATTACACAAAGTTTGGCGATTTTTTTCTGATTATCCATAATTAATTTTAAGTTATCGCTTTCTTTAATTTCGATGCCATTTTTATACCATTTGACTGTCGGCTCCATGTCGCCATCAAATTCTGCACATATTTCAAAGCTTTCTAAATCTTCAATCGATAAAGCATCTGGCCACTTATTTTTGAAAAACGGCTTTTTGCCCAGTGGATTCGTCTTCACTATGGACGAATTTGAATATTCACCCCAACCGACCTGAAGAAATAAAAATAAATGGTGGTGAAGTTAATTTATAGAAAGCAGAACGAAAATGCCTTGAAATATTTATAAACTCAAAGAAAAATCAGTTAATTTCAGTAGGAAATTTCGAAGAATGAATCAAATCAACCAAGGAAAACCACACCTCAGTTTTAGCTGCCACTCTGAAGATATATTCAGTATTTGGTTCCAAATTCCTTACAACAATTTCATTTCCATTTACTGAATTGACGATGGTCCATAATCTTTCATCAGGTCTGAAATATACAGATAGTTATGAACAGAAATTTTTTAGCAGTTAGTTAATTTATACCTTCGCTGTTCCACTTTGTACTCAGTTATCTTCATTCCACCATCGCCTTTTGGTTCATTCCATTGCAAAGTAATATTGTCTACCCTAACCTCCTTGACGAGAAGCTCAACTGAAGCAGGCACTTTTGCAACATCAACTTTCACCTTGGCTGGTTTTTTCCTAAATTTTTTGATTTAATTCCTCAAAACATGGTTAAAGCAATCGTTAAATTCTGCTTTATCAATTAGAACGCACTTTTTTCCCTTCGAAACTTCTACCAGTATTTCGCCTTTGATTTGCCCATCACTGTTTTTTGCTTGAATTTCATATCTTCCTGCATCTTGTGCATTTACAGAGTTGATCAACAGTTTATAATTTATGCCGTCATGCTTTGTTGATACTCGTTGGTTAGAAATAACTGAACCATCCTTTAACCAATTCACTAAACGATATCTTTATTAAAATAATTTTGAAAGCCAGTGTACTTCAATAATGAGAATAAAATCAATCAGGGATGAAAAGTGACATAGTGGCATAATACAAACGATAAAATTCACCTTCTGGATCTGGATAAGAATTAATGTTATAGGCAATTTCAAGATCTGCTCCCTCTTCTATTTTCAACTGTTTTTCTGGTTCAACAACAAAATAGGGTGCAAATGTGGTACAAGACTGAGCAACTAAAATTGTAATCGCTGTATCATAAATAACATTATTAGACGAGCCATTTCTTTTTAATGGGATAAAAAATAATCAAATTGAAGCAAGCCGAAATGAAATTAAAGAATGTATCTGGGATTTACCATGACTTTGACCTGATATTGTCAGTTGCGCGTTTGAATAGGCATCACCATATATATTATGAGCCACAGCTGTGTATATGCCGCAGTACTTTGGTGTTACCCTTGAAACCTCAAGTACACAAACATTATCATCGAATGAACGTATTCGAATGTTTGTATCATCAGTGATTGCTTTCCCATTGAAAAGCCACTGCACAACTGGGTGAGGTTCACCTATTATCTGTAAAATGAAATAAGTACGAAATCGATAAATTATCTGTGAATTGCTCTTTTGGATTAATTGCTATTATAATCCCTTTTTATCGTCCATAAGTGATTTTTATATAGCTACGAAATTTTATAAAAACCTAGAAATAAATCTAAACAGCAATTGCAGAAGATCACCGAGCAAATATGTCAAATCTCTCAGGCAAAAGAATAACATCAGACCAATAAAAAGTGGGTGATTTTATTACTTGGCATGTAAGTATTGCATGGTCTTCATTGTTTTTTACAATCGTATCTTGGAGTTTTTGCAAGAATTTCGGCATTTTTGATAAATGGTCATCATCTCCAGCTGGTGCTGAAATTTGAAGAAATAGAAAAGATCAAAATTCATCTATTTTTTGAACAAAAATAGACATGGGCCGACATGGCACCTAAATTACGAAGATTAATTTTGCGCAAAACAAAAACTTACGTCGAACAATAACAGTGCATCTTGTTTCAGCGCTTCCAACTTTGTTAATAATCCGGCATAAATATTGCCCTTCATGTTCTTCGTTTGCTTCGTAAATTTTCATTACCGCTAAACGACCATCAAAGAATCTTCGTAAAGTGCGTTTTTCATTAAGGAGCCTTCCATTCAAATACCATTCAACTGATGGTATGGGATGCGCTTCAACTTCGACTTTGAGTGTCTCGCGATTGCCTGAAAATTCTAGTGAAAACTGGTAGAGAATACTAATAACCGCGAGATGGATTAAGAATGATTAATTATTATATCCAAGAATTTGAAAATCCAAGAAATATTGGCTATGAAACTGAATGTTAACCTTGAATAACAATGGCATCATGAAGTGGTCGTTTTATTATTGGAGCTAGAAGCACTTCAATAACAGATGACTTGCTACGAGCTAGAGATGCGGAACGAGATTCACTTCCCATATTTTCTTAATAATAAAAATATAGTTAATGAAAGAGAAATAATATTCCTTTTAATTCATCTACTCGGAACAATTTGCAGATTCTTAGCAGCACACATTGAAAAAATTAAATGAATGCTATACCAGTCACTTGAACTCTGCAACGAGTAATATCTTTGCCGATTGAGTTAACTGCTTCACATGAATACTCTCCACCATCTTTGGTATCCATATTTTTGATATTTAGTTTACAAATGCCTGCAAAAATATTAAATGAAACTATAAAGCATTCAAACGAACAAAAATTCATCATAATAATTCCGAAAAATAAAACCTTTTCGGTCCACATACTGTAGCATTCTATTCTCGGAGAGGATTTTCGTACCATCTTTATGCCATGTGATCATTGGAAATGGATTGCCGATTACTTGACATTCCATGACAAGCTCAGATCCAGCTATGGTTGTAAAATCAGATAGTGCTTCTTTAAATTTTGGCACAATGTAGATTGCATCTTGTGCTGAAGCATTCAATCAATTCAATTTTCAATTAATTTTTTTTTAAACCTTTTAATTAACTAATTAAATCAATTTCTAAGGAACAGGATAATCGAGTAGATATTGGCTCAGATTATCGTGTTGGCAGGCAAACTTCGGCTTCTGCTTCCTGATTGAAGTAAAAAACCTGTCAAAAAATCCAGTGCTGGCGATCTATCCATACTTCTTTTGACTCCCCGATGAAAATTCCTGACTGTACTAACAGTGAAGCGAACCAGAAGTAGGCGTTAATCATTTAATTTTTGGCTTGTTTCCAGTTACTGATTAACAATAATAAAATTTCTCAACATTGCTAAAATTTCGAGAATTACTTGAAAAATGCAAAAAAACGTACGATGGACAGCGACTTTGCATATGGATTCCACTGATCCATACCGATTTTCCGCAATGCATTTGTAATTTCCAGCATCTCGGAGTTTTGTTGTTCTTATGATGAGAGTACAGACACCATTTTCACTCTAAAACATAAATAAATAAGATTCATAATTTTAAATCACAGATATAAGAATTCACTTACGAAAAAATTAAATCCAGGTGATATATCAAATCTATTTAAATGCAATTACTAATCACTGTGAATTAACCAGTAAAACAATGAAAAAGTATTGCCTTGCATTCGCAATAATTCTTGGGCATTACTTCATCATTCTTCAACCATTTCACAGTGGGATTTGGGGTTCCTAAAAGAGCAGAATTCATAACACATATTAAAATTGAAAATGCAGATAGAAAATTTTTATAAGCGAATTTTAATGAAGAATATTTAAAAATGGAAAATTCAAAAGAAAAGAATGAATTCACCTGTAACAGCACAAACTAATGACAGTTCTGAATTTTCAGCTATTTCTCGATCAGATAAAGGCATGCGAAACTTTGGAGCTTTGTCACCAGCATCCTCCAAATCTATTTTCTTCTTTTCTAAATATATTCGAAAGCTTTCAAAATTTATTTTCACTGATGCACTCAAAATTGCGCTAGAATGTTCATGAAATTAAAAAATAAACCTCGTATAGAAATAAAACATTCAGATTCAGCCGATCCAATATTATTTCTAGCAACACAACGATAAATTCCACTATCTTCTGCATAAACACCAGTAATAATCAGTGAATAGTACTGTGCCTAAAGCTCGAAATACATAGTTTCTCATTTTAAAAAAAAATCTGCTCAATTTTTTGCAAATTTATAACAGTGGATTAATACAATTCTTCGTTTGGACACCTCAAACGATGTTTTTTTTCTTTTAAATTTAGTTTTTAACTTTTTTTTCAACTTTTTAATTTTAATTTTCTACTTTATCCTTATCTTCGACAGAGATAAGCCTGCAGTAACAAAAACCTGGGTAGCTGTTTGGGATCCGCCTGTAACTCTTCAAGTGAACCTATGGCGAAAGGGAAAGGGATGTTTTTGACACAGCGTCTCAATCTTCCAACGCGCATGATATTCTCAGCCAGCTGGTACATGCGATTAGTGTACAATCCGAGCATAAAAAGATCCCAAGGTTTGTAAATAAAATGTGCACACAAGTCAATATAACTATTCGAAATCTTTTATGGCACTTTGTGAGCGCGATGAAGTGTTAGGTACCGTAGCAGGAACGTTAGAACGCTTAACGTTGCAAGCAAAGCGATCTTTCTAAATATCGTGCGGTCGTCGCTTGCTGGCCGGAGGTCCACATTCCTCACTTCTGGTCTCGAGTAATTACTAAAACTGGTTCTAAGCAGAAATATTGGCCACATCATAGTGATGTTTCGGAAAAATGGAGGCTAAATGGCGTAATGCATTGTTTGAAAAGTCCCATTCCGTTTTGATTGAGTGTAAATCGGTAGGCAACCGATAGCCGGCCTATGTCCGTTTTAAAGGTAAATCCTATAATATCTCGTCAGTGTTTACGCTCCAACTTTGTCGGCAGATAACCGTGATAAAGTTCTATGCGGAACTTCAACTCCTAACAAAGTCCTTACCAAAACATGACATGGTCTTAATCGAGGGAGACTTTAATGCGTGCATAGGTCATGGTGCCACTGCGATGACCTCGACAATTTGTAAATATGGCGTCGGAGTCCAGTGCGTCAGTCGGGAACGCTTTCTTCTCTTTGCCGAACTTTTCCATGAACATTTATCACTAATACATGCTTTTGGCATCGTAGAAAACATCTAATCACATGGAGCTCCGGGATAACCAATACTCCAGCAAGATTGATTATATCCTAGTCAGTCACCGTTGGAAGAATTTCATACTAGATTATTCCCATCGCGGCAATGAAACGGACAAACGGACAACGGACATGGATCTTGCCATGTTATGGTCCGAGCTAAGATCCGCATAAAATTGGCAAATCGCACAAAACAGCATTCCTCAAGATTCTTCAACTATTTCAAACTAAAAATTCGAGGATAGTGAGCACATTTCAAACAAAATTATTGAAGCATCTCAATGGTATAAATATCAATGACTTTTCTAGAACAGCAGATGAATACTGGTCTCAGCTAAAGACTTATCTCCCAAAACCACTTCTATACCAGGATGTGCTAGCAGAAAGTGCTCTAATCAGGTATCGAAAGCAATTGTCCAACTGTCCGAAAATGTTGCTAAAGCACGAATGTCCTAACTACTTGATACTTCGAAAAAAACTGCAAAGACAGCAGCACGGCAGAAACCACTAATGGAGCGAGATGGCCTTGAGAATAATAACGGCGATTCGATTATGCAATAGTAGGTAACGATTCCGCACCATCTTCATAAATCAATTATTACTCAGGAGACGGTTAATGAAATGGTACGGGATAGCAGTGGTGTACCTTTTAAGAGTATTAAGGTTAGCTTCATAAGATGGAAGAAATTTTTAAGGTTAAACTTAGCCTTGATGCGCCATTTGTTGCCCTGGATATAGCTGATTCGCTGTTCGGACTATACGTTGCAACTGCGAATCGCCGAAAGACAAGGAAATCCGTTGTATACAACCTTAAGGTATATAAAACTCTGGAAGAAGATGGTCTCCGAGCTGAACTCTTCAAATGTTGTCCATCTTTCTTCATAACAAACCTCCAACAAATGTACTCTCTGGCATGGAAGAAAGAATACCAGATGGCTGGAGCACAGCAAGTCTACTTCTAACCCCTAAGAAAAGTGACAGGACATACTGTGACAATTGTCGAGGAATCAGCCCACTAGACGTTTCAGCGAAAATTTTTGCTACTTATATTGAATAGATTTATGGCAGTACGGGAAAGCAGGATATGCCTTAATCAAGCTGGATTTATATCTGACCATATTCACGTTAAGAAGAGTGTTGAAACATTGCTTCAAATATCTGCAACCTACTATAACGTGTTTAATAGGCTTTACAGTTGCCTTCGATTTAATTGATAGAAAAACGCTTTGGAGAGTGATGGAACGCGATGGTGTAGAAGATTATTCGACTCATAAAGATATTTCATCAGCGTACATTGGCACAAGTTTGAATATATGAGAAAACTGGAACTAATAAACTCCTTCGAAATAAAAAGTGGTGCCCGCCAGGGCCGCGTCCTTTCTTTCCCCTACAGTATTCAATTATGCTATAGACTGGATAATGGACATCATTTGGCACTCAAGAGGATCAGCCCAGATCATCGTGTCACAGATCTTGAATATGCCCTTTTTGCTGACAGTTACGGCGAAATGCAAATTTTACTAAAAAATCTGTCGACAACTGCAGCGAGAATCAAACTCAGGATCAAACGAAAATCTTATATACAAAAAGCTAATTAAATACCCAAAATCGAAAATCCGCGTCCATTACTCGATCTTCGCTTCATCTTCCTATATGGCTGTAACATATGTCAGAGTGGAGGATATTAAGAAGTTATGTTCTTTGACCACTCTTATATAACTCTTATATAAAATGCATTTTATGATTCGCCGAGGGGGAAAATTTCACTTGACTGCAATCACTTTCGCTCAAATACCAATGCTTTAAGAAAACTAATATAAAGTCGTCTTCGCTGATTAAGGTACGTCCTTCGTTGCCCACTGCAGGAATTGAGTTGATACATATTTACATTCTTGCTCTGTGATGGTTGGCATTAAAAGCGAGGTGGGCCAATCAAGACCTGGACTGATACGGTCAGGAAAGATTTTTAACGTAGAGGTTGACCGGCAATATATGGACTTAGACGATGGAAAAGGAATGGCACCTATTACTATCGATAGTGGCATCAAATAGTAGCTTGGAAACCTCTTAGCCTCTCGTAGCCAGTGGAGATATCCTAACGAATAATGGTGAGAACTGTTAGAAGAACACAAAATAGTAAAAATATTATAACCTTATCATCATAAACGAAGTTATAATGGTCATTGTGTTGAAGTTCATTATCATTGTAAAACCACAATATTTCTGGAGGCGGGATTGCCGATATTTTTGTCTCTAGTTTGAGCTCTTCTAGTTCATCATGTTCGATATTTTCAAGCTTTTTCTACAAAATGGCTGACTAGGGTAACTCTCATTTTAGAAAAATTCGTTTTTTCTATATAATTTCAAACTTTTTTGAAAATATACCAAAAATTTAGGTGCTTTTCCACTATCGGCATTCTGAACGTTGATTTTGCATTCGCTGCAACATTGGCCAAAAATATTTGTTCCGATTATTTTCCAAATAGAATCATCACTTGCTTCACTTCGCAAAATTTCCAATTCAAAGTGACCTAAAGATATGTTTGTCTGAGGTAAAACGAAAATAGAACTGATGAATATTAGATCTTGTACTATATTTTAAAAATTTTTCGTTCAAATAAAACATATTTTCATAATTTCCCTTCTTCTTTGCCACATGGCCAAAAATCGTTAATTGTATTTTTTTTATAATTTATTATGATTCAATAGTTCTGTTTTCTATTTTATTTCAGTGAGTTGCACAGTTCGATGCCCGCATTCAAAATATATCTTAATTAAATTAAACAAAGTGTTTTTATGAAGAGCATAGCAATGTTGCTAACGAACCAAGCTTTAGACTATGCACTTAACCTTGGCAGTCATACAGATAACAATTAATTGAACCGCCACTGGACTTTCTTATGAAGAAAAATGATTATTGGTGGATTAGCTCCAATAGTGGCTTCGGCTGCAAAATCTGTCGAAAAAATTTTCATTTTCATTTTTATGACCTTTGTTGCTCCTTGTCACATATCTTGCGCTATTGATATCAATCGGTTCATTGTTACGATACCACTTGACATCTAACTGTGGTTCACAATTACTGCTAGCACAGAGAAGAACTGGTTCACCGATTTTTACGACTGCATTTGTCAATTTTCGATGGAAATTAGGAAGTGTAATTTCAAGTTCGTTTTCGAATCGCTTTGTCGTTTGCTGGTGCTTAAAATACAGATAATGGATAAAGGCAAGACAAATGTTCTAAAAAATATTCTAATTTATAAAATGTTCTAATTTAGTGATTCTGAAAATTCCTTCAATAAAATTTTTCCTAAATTTTTAAAAATTCAAATTTTGGTATCTAAACATATTATCTAAACTTATATTGAAATTTAGTTGTTCGAAGTATTAATTTATTAAATATTATTTTTTAATTTTCGAATAATAACCTGCACAATTAATTTTGCTTCACACTGAATTGAGCCTAACTCATTTGTCGCAGTAACCGAATACAATCCGGCATCCACTTCCTCAATATCTTTGATAGACAATTCTGCTGTTCCATTAATGAAACTCATGTTGTACTTCTTGGATGGTTGAATTAATTCGTGTGAGTCTTTGAACCTGAAAATATATCATTAAAAATATTTGAAAATAAAAAAAGTAAGAAATTTGTTCAAAAACAACAAATTCAAAACATACCACTGAAGTTTTGGAGACGGTGATCCATCGATACTACAAATTAGTTGTATGACCGAAATCCCAATATTAGCAGTCATATTTTCCAATGGCTTGAGAACCTTCGGAGGATATTCTTCATCTGAATGTTAACCATTTATTCATTTATCACAGAATTTTATGATACCTGATATTAATTTGGACCTTACCATTGAATCCTTGAATTGTTTTTTCCAGGTTTCTAATATGAAAAGATTCATTCTAATACAATAATTAACCCAACTGTCAACAGAAGTTGATGAGAAAAAGTTTTGTTATTAAATAAATAATAATTAGCTGAAATTTAACACTTCCTTCAATTATAAAAACACATGTAAAAAAGCATGATGATGGGCAGCAGTATATGCTAACAGTATATGCTAAATATGTATGTACTAATAGAAATGAAACACTTTTTGTAGAAAGAGGTATATAGCACGAAAAGTTGAAGGCCTTGTCTTAATTTATTTTAGAAAAGAATAACCGAATGTAACATTTCTTTCAAAAACACCATCCATAGAGATTTGTCTGAACAAACTACCTCGATGAACGAGGCGCCCAAGTGGCAATAAATCGTCACCAGAATATTTTATCGTTGGCAAAAAGTTTTTAATTTGTCTTAAAGTTATATTTTGAATATCTTGGCCCAATTCCTTAAAAAAATTCGATTCATTTTAGTGCTGACAAGCAATCTTTCTGGTATCTTTAAAAAATTAATAAGTTAATAATAATTAGACTTCATATTCTATAATGACCTAGCCGAAAAATAATTCATTTTATGATTATATTCGAGTTTTTGCAAGTAAATAATACAATTTACCATGATCCATGGATGATTTAAGCTCTCTGTTACGGTTAATCGCTTTCTGCAATATATTGTATACAAAAAAAAATGACGAAAGTGAATACATTTAAAATTTGCTTGAAGATTGAAGAAATTGTAACTAAATAATAAGAATAGTAACACATAATAATGAAAGTAGTGCAAGGATTAATCAGCTATATAAGTGTGGAAGGCTCAAGAGTACAAAGCTATGAGAATCGCAAATCTAGAAAAACCATTTTGCCTAAATTATTTTAGTATGTTGAAATAAAATTTGATAATTTCAGAAGCACAACATTCAGCAGTGCGAAACAATAATTTGTAACCCTTTTTATACTTTTTTTCTTTAATATTATAAATTTTAAACAAAGTAACAAAATGAATAATCTTTTTCCCAAGGACGCTTTGTTGCAGAAAACTCGAGTCCTTCAATTTTTTTATGAAATAGCTTTTAGATTTTTTTGATCTGATATGATTAACTAACAAACCTTTTATCTTTGAGCATTAAACGACTTATAAAATCTTTTGCCATATCCGATACATTGTTCCAGCTTGCATCATCAAAATTCCAATCACCTGCAGCAACATTTGCCAAAGTTTCTGCATCATTAGCACTTGCGAACGGTGATATTCCAGACAACCTTTAATAATATTTCGTAAACAATGATACTCTGTTTAAAAAAACCAAAATCAGTAACTATTAATGTTCATGAAAGACCACTTCTTTTTCTCACTTTCTTCATAAAATAATTTATCGAAAAACAATTGCATAAGAAGATAACTCTATGTATTAATTACAATGATCAACAAATCACTAACCAAACAATTAGTTCAGAAAATAATATTATAATCTTTAAAACTTTCAATAACCTATCAACAATGTATAAACAAGGAAAATTATTAAACATTACATAACATAGGTTATCACTCCCACAGCCCACATATCCACACTCAGACTGAGTGGCTCAGAATTAATAATTTCAGGAGCACAGTATTCAGCAGTGCCAAACAATAATTTGCAATTTTTTGTTGGATCAATCTTTCTTGCTAATCCGAAATCAATTATTTTGATCTGATTACTGTTTTCTGATTGCAGTACAATGGTTTCTGGCTGAAATACTTATTAATAATGCAAAAAATGTCTTCTTGATCATATCTTCTTTCATATCCACTTGCAAATTTAAAAAAATTGAAATATAAAAAACCAGCCATAGAAATCTCAATATATCATCTCCATTGACGGAGCTAATTACTTTAAGAAATTTTCAAATCAACATGTATGTTCCAGAACCTTCAAATCGAGATGAGCGATTCCTTTACTATGCATATGCTGTATTCCTTGAAGAATTTGGCGCACATAATTACGAATGTCGTTTTCATTTATCGACCCACCATCTTTGAAAATTTTATCCAGCAATTCATCGCCAGATACACTTCAAAAGAAGATTTATTAACATATACATTAATATATACATATGAATTAAAAAATAGATGCCGAGGTATTTTATTCTTTTTTGAAATACTTACATAAACCTACATCTCCTTGTATACAGTAAAGATGAAAAGGCGAAATCGAAGGAATAATGATTTATGTACTTATTGAACCTAAGTGATTAGTTTTTTCTAAAATAACAAATGTAACTCACAGTTCTTCGACGAGATACATTTCGCTGCCAAGATCAAAGGCTTCATGTAGATTCAAAAGTTTCTCATGATGAAGTTGGTTCATTATATTGATTTCGTGAAGTACGCTATCTTTTTTAATTCCTGGCCGAACTTTAACAATTTTTGCTACCCAGTTTTTACCTGTTGATTTTTCAATAGTTCGATAAATTGTCGCATATGAACCGTGACCAAGCTCTTCGCACAAGATATACTAAAAAGAAATTGAGAAAATTTCAATATTAAAGACCTCCGGATGGAAGATTACCTTTGCTTCAAAATCATTCGGAAGTCTAGTGACATCAATCGTTCTATATTCTGAAGGTTTAATGTCTGTGATAAATTTGCTACAGTTATCGGCAAGCACATGATCGTTTTCTTTACGATACTTTGGATCTGGCACAAATATCTAAAATTTGCAGCAATTTGCTCAATCATCATTTTCAAAATCTTAGTTAAAATATTTAAATTCAAAATTACCTATACCTTTATCTATCATTATTTAATTTTCTATGATGAAATAGATATAAAAGGTACCGATTCAGATTCCTCTGATGGGTCGCTTTGACCAAAGTTGTTTTCTGCACGAACACGAAATTTATAAATGTGGTTGACTTGAAGATTGCAGATTGTAGTGGAAGATTGCTTTACAGCATCAACCTTTTGCCACACATCTTCATCTTCCTGAAGATATTGCCTACAAGGTAAAATAATAGGAATAAAACTAGTTTCAAGAAAAATAAGATTTCGATGATTATGTAGCATTTTTTCATAGTATTACCATCTCTTTCCAGTAAGATTTTATCAACAAGGGAATTACATATCATTCCTAATATTACCATTATTATCAGTAGTATTACCATTCCTAATATGTAACGAAGTCCTTATTCATTTTTGTTCCTCATTTATCATGGGCAGGATGATCAAATGATATATTGCTTCGACTCAGTCGAAACTTCATGGGCCCGGTTCTGGGGTAAAATTCTTAATAGTCGTAAAATTCTTATGGAAAACCTCCGAAATTTTTCATAACTAAGTCTAATGCTAGCAGATTTCAAGATAGTTTCAAGATAGATTTTATTTATAATTTTTTTCTAATTATGTAAATCTCTATATTAATGACAAATGGTCCGTCTTTGTTTTGATAATCTTATAGCGCTAAATGGTTGCTGGCTCATTCTTTACCGTCTTGTAAAAATTTCTTAACATCCTGATGTCACGTTACATTTCCTTAGCCTCTTTTCAGACGACATGTGTTTTTTCGACAGCCACTGAGACCCTTTTCCCTTCATTTATTGACTTTCTATCCCAAATATTTAATATTCTATTCTTTTCGTAACTAAATTGGCTTCCAGAATTGGAATGAGTACTTAAACTTCCATCCTTATGAAAAGAACAGATAGAAAAATTATTTCAAACTATTAATCCTATTTTTAACATCATCTCATGTCATAAGACCATGAAACCGCTCCGAATATTATTTCTCTTGCTAAATCATAACTAATCGCCCTTGAAACCCATTCATCCACTCCTCTCATACTCACGCAATTTCAACCTTCATATTTAGGATTTGACAAGATGTTTAGCCAATAACACTTGAACTAATAATAGCAGCTGCGAGTTAGAGGGTCTTTTCAAATGCACAAACTCATGGATGGGCGAAAGGATTATTATATAGGTTATATTGTTTTGTTAGCACATTTCTTTTCGAAATTATGACACGCCACTAAAATAGTGATATACTTTATTAAAGCTCTAGTTAGCGAAGCCACAGTAGAATTGCTGTCGGAAATACCGATATAATTGTTTCATAAAATTATATAAATTGTAAATAAATTCACATATACATATATATTTTCACAGTTCGTTTTTTATATTGCTATCTGGATCGTAACAAAACTTTCAACTGGTTGTAAATTCTAACATCAATTCATGAAAACATCCACGAAAGTCACTCCTTTCATATTTTCTCTATCTGAATTTGACAAAACTTTTCAGGATAGTTATAGCCTCTGTTGCATTTGCATATCACCCTCTTAAATCTTTTAAATTTTCTTAAAATTTGCTTAATCTTAAACTTCTTTAAATTCTTTTACTGAAGAGTTTACGCAAAATGAGTAGAATGAGTTCACGCCTAAGGGCTCAAATTTGCCTTTCTCGCTATTCATTTATTTCTTGGGCTAGCCTTTCTCTTCCATTCCCTTATCTGTCTTTAAATACTCTTTATAAAATATTGTTATATGGCTTTGAAACCGCTCCGAGAGTTGTATCTGCATAACCATAATAATACCATGTGTTACTTATTATTGCTTTCTAAACAGCCTTAGCAGGAAAAAGATCATTCTTTTGAGGTATTTGTAACAATGAATATGCAAATTTATTTTCTGCGCATCAAGTAAGCAGGAATATTCAAACTGGAGCAATCATATAAAAGTAACCCTTCGTTGTTCAATGACGTAGATGATTGGACTTGTACTTTCTTGTCCCGAAGTAGCCCACATAAGTCGAACTAAACAAAGGCTTTGTTCACATACGATAGGTCGCCCAGGTCTATCAGGATAATCAATTACCTATAAATTACCTATGAGGTTTTTTTTGTTCTTATGTTACTTCAATTTAAAGTAAAAGCAATACAATACGAAGCGTTTCACAACCTGAATAGGTATTTCGCACGTGTCAAAACCAAACTTGTTAGTAATTCGAAGCGTGAAATTCCCTTCATCTTCGATCTGAGCGCCCAATATCGTGAGTGATGTTTGATTATCTTTACTGATAACCTGAAATATTATACCGTTGTTAAAATTCAAATTTGTAAGAAACTATAAATCAAATAAATTTGGAATCTCTTATTGTAAAAAATTCCAGTAAAAAATCTTATATTGAATTGAGCTTCGCCATTAAATATATTTCTCTCTTTTTCTATCTGTATGAAATTTTTTTTAACTCATTTTAATTTTTTTCTTAATGTAGATTATCAGTAAAAAAATAATGAGCATATATAGCCGAAAAAACATGAAAAATATGTTTTTGAAAAAGCTATAAGAAACTGAAATGCCACGAATGAAACGAGGAGCTGAAATTCGAATTATTGCAAAAATGCGGAAAAAAAAATTTCTAAAAAATTCTTAAAAATTAAATCAAGAAATTTTATAAAAATTTCTTTAATTTTTCTCATATTTCGTTCCATTCCTTATCTATTTACTTTATTTAAAAGAAGTAAAGAGGAACACAAAGCCTACTGCATGATAATATTTCAGTATATTCCCAAACACTCCGATATAAATTATCTTTTCTAGCGGAATTTTCTGAATCACTTCACTCCACTTCACTTGCTCCTAACTAAGCAAAGAAGGTAATTTGATGTGGATATGAATTACCTTAAAGCGCTTCGAATCATGACCTATCGGTTGACCTCTATTATCAATCCATTCAATCGTTGGTTGTGGTTTACCTATAAAAATATAAAGTGGTGATATCTTTTTTAATGGCTAAGTGATAATCAATATTCGTAAAGGCAATAAAATATCCAAAAAAACGGTAAAATATTTGGCGTCTTTTTATAATCCTGCATAATTAAAACTTCATTTTAATATCTTAGACTTGGAAGTTTTTGACGCAAACTGGAACGTAATAGGAACGCTGAATATGCATAGGAAATCCAAATATCTTTGAGAAAAATCTTATATAATCATTCATCTATGATTCCCGTGGAATTATCAAATCGAACATGATTACATTAATTTACAATTTTTCCAAATTCCAACGATTTTTTCGCATCTTATTTAAGTTGTTATGATGAGAGCCTAAGTTCACTGATTTTTATTCAGTTCTTAAACTTGTTCTACCATAATCATCCAGGAAATGAAAGACCTTTGAAAAATAATCAAAAAAGAAGGTTCATATAACCTGATTAAGAAGGAATGACAATTGTTAATTAAAGTTAAGTGTTAAAATTCGGATTCTACTGCTGACAAAAAACCTATTATTAAAGAAAGAACTATTATTGAAAATCTTTGGTGATGGCTCATTTGTATTTCTAAAGCCAAGTAACTTTTTGGCAAAAATTTCTTACGCATTAACAATCAGTGGAGCCAGTCAAATCAGTGAGCGCTAGCCCACTTCAAAGTTTTGTGAGAAGAAAATTTTCATCTCTATCAAATGTTTATCTGTATTTACTTCTCTTGAATATTTATTCTCTAATTTTTAGTTTGAATTTTATTATTATCTAATCAAAAATGAGCACATTAGTAGCGAAAAATATCAAAATTATTTTTTTTCTGAAAGAATTCACCATTTTCGATTAGGCTCATCCGCTAACTTATCGGACTAGACAGAATTTACCAGGGAATTACTTAGATAGAAGACAAATGGGTCGCCAGTACCACCCAAGTTTTTGAAAGAAAGATTTACTGCAAAAATAGGACTCTGCATCGCTGTATCGAATTGAGAGTGACAAGCTACTGAGCTAATCGACCTTCAGGCTGAATTCCTCAAGAGATAAATTGAACCTTTCTTACTACTCATGAACATATTCCAACAGGAAATGAATCGAAAATTATTGCATCATTTTATATTTATATAATTAAAATTATTATATTTTAAATTCAATCGTCTTCAGAATTTTCAAGTTCTCGGATTGAAGAACTTTTATTTAATAATATAGTATCAATTTATCATTAATTTCATTTCGAATATATTTCATAACACCTGATTGGTTTTATTAATTTAATAATACCAGGTGTCAAGATCTCCAAGGCGACAACTTTTTTTGCTATTTAAAATTTCGCTTTTTTTTTTATAAAAAGAGATAAAACCCTTCTTCATAACCCAAATAAAACATATTTATTTATGAAAAACATTCGAAAATAACGGAATATTGTGAAATTATTATATCTTTTCGTTAATCATTATGAGAAAAATATAGTTACTAAATATATATTTTGCCGCTCTTTAAAGAAATTTGAAATTTGAAAGGGATCATAACAAACAATAAATAATTATGAAACAGCAAAAATATTCTAAAAAATTTTTGGTGAGGGGATGAATTTAAAAGAAATTGGGGACCCCAAATTGGCATTTTTATGGATTAAATCCGACATTCCAATACTTCCAAACACCAGTTTTTGCAACGATTTTTACAAGCCTTTGCAAAAAATAATCATATTTAATATATAATTCATGCAAATTGTATTTTGGTTGCATTGTTATAATTTAATACCATATTATACTAATTCTTTATTTTCTAATAGCTCTCACCATAACTGGTTAGGCTAGTTCCAACGGCTGCAAGGGCAAGATGCTTCCAAGCGGTGCGGTCTGATGCCATCATCGACAGTAATACCCATTCGTTTTTCCATTGTCTAAGTCTATGTATTGCTGGTCCACCTATATGTTCAAAAATCTTTTCTGATCGTGTCAGCCCAGGTCATAATTAGCCAACCTCGCTTTTGACGCCATCCATCACATAAGTAACGAAATATGTGTCAACTCCTGTGGTGGACGACGGAGAACGTGCCCTAACCACCGAGCGATGATCTGTGATAACATTATTAATTATTAGCATAACATTATTAACATTATTAATGCAAATGATATTTGAACGAAGGTGAATGCGATCATGCGATATTTTATCCTCTCGAACGAGCTTCATAAAGCCCTTAAAATCAGACATTTCCTCGACCGGCAATGAATTTATAAAAAGAAACATTTTATCAGCTTCTTGCACATGAGACGAAAAGGCTTTCGTTTTATTTGCATTGAGTCCGATTCTCGCTGCAGTCGCTAACGTTATTTAGCATTATTTGCATTTCTTCATAAGTGTCAGCAAAAACGACTACGATGCTCTGGACTGATTTGGACACCTCTTGGGTGCCGACAAGCGATGCCATTATCCAGTCTTTCGCATAGTTGAATATTGTAGGAAAAAGGACGCAGTTCTGACGAACACCAGTTCTTATTTCGAAGGAGCCGGTCAATCCCTCATATATACAGACCTGCATCGACTTGCGCTCATAAAATGCCTTTATGATCTTCTCTGGAACACCGCCGCGTCCCATCACCCTCCAAAGCGCCGCTGTATTAATTGAATCAAAGGCAGCCGCAGAGTCGATGAAACACGCTACAGTGGGTTGCAAATATCTGAAGCGATGTTCCAACACCCTTCTTAACGTGAATATCTGGCCAGCAGAACTACGCTCTGGTCTTAATCTAGCATGATTAGGGCACATCCTGCTATCTCGTACTTCCATAATCTAAATAAAAGAACAAAAAGAGAGCAAAAATTTTCGCTGACGTCTAGTAGGCTGATTCCTCGATAATTGTCGTAGTATGTCCTATCACCTTTCTTGAAAATTGGTAGCAGACTTGCTTTGCTCCAACTATCTTTTTTCCATACCAGAGAGTACATTTGTTGAAGGTGCGTTATGAAGGACAACATTGAAAGATGGACAACAGCACGAAAACCATCTTCTCCTGGAGTCTTATTGGCCTTAAGTTTATGGATAACAGATATTATTTCTTCTTCTATTGGAGGCTCGCAATTGCAAGCATATGGTTCAGCGAACGTATCAGCTATATCAGGAGCAACAGATGGCGCTTCATGGTTAAGTTTGGCTGATACTATTTTATACTAATACTATATTATAAATTTTTGTACTGATGTTTTGCAACAATTCAGAAAACTGACTCAACAAATTCAACAAATTCTTCAGCGAGTATATTTCAGAAATCCTTTAATGAGTAAACTTCATCTATAGAATGCAACTCTTAGCTTCTAATCGCCATTTGGAGTTACCTTCATGGAAAAGCACAAAATACTGTAGAATAATAAGTTTGTCTGTCATTGTACTGATTCTTTTACTGTCGAAGCATATAAACTAATGTGATGAACAGATTGGTCCTAATCAACTTCCAGTATTCAATGTTGACACACCGTTATCTATAAACTAATGCGCATTCAATTCTGGCAGATGTTTTCAACCAACTACATTAGCTGTATAAGTCAGTGCAGATGTTTTTGGCATAATTTTGCTTAGACAAATATTTCATTGCATTTTCTAACTAGGGATTGTAAAAGATTGCTTGAAATCTTATTGTTTTAAATTTATTTTGATTTTTATTAAAACATTTGTCGACATTACTAAAATTTTTAAGTTTTGCGATTCATTGCGATTCATGCTTCTGTCCATTATATCTTTTATATTCTAAAAGGGAACAAGGGAACCGCATAGTGAATAAATTAGCATGAGAAAGAATAATTAATGATGTTTGCAGGAGAATCTTTGGAATTTGAAGAACTAATTTTTGCATAATAATTTTATTATAAGCTTCTCACTTGTAGTCAGTGGAGCCAGCCTAACCAGTAATGATGCGTATACGTAGATACAAGTAGATACAATCAGACTAAAGTTATTATTTCAGTTTCTATATAATAAGAAATGCGATAATTTACAATTCACTATGTGACTTGTAAATCTATGTGACTTATAAATAGAAAGTATGGTTTCATCATGTGATCTACAGATTTGCAGCGTGCACTTAAGTCTATGGTCATGGAAAATTCCGACTTTGCAAATAAAAAAAATATTTAGTGGAAAATATTTCTTTTCATTCCTTGTAATTATCGGTCATTTATTTTCATTTTTAACACGTTTCGTCAAGTTTTCATAAAAAGACTGGCAATTTAGGTTAATTCTTGGTTTAAAAGGAAAGAAATTCGAACCAAAGATGTATGAAAGTCGTAAATGATAGATGATCAATAGTTCTTTTATGAATCATCGAAAATGAGTATAGAATTTCATTAAAATGAATGTAAAATATAAATTGATGGTGGTAATGATAACCTATCTTTTATATACCCAGATGATTCTCTGGTAAAAATACGTTATCTTAATAGCCGATAGAGCAAGATTAAACAGAAACAATGAATGCTGCCGAAAAAAAGTTTTTAAACTAGTTTTTAAATTCTCACCACATAAAATCAAAAGAAAGAGATAGGAAGTGCAATTACAACAGGCAAAAAAATTGTTAAGGCTAATATTTTATATTTTTTATATTTGCTTTTTGATAAGATTTTAGATTCTTTAGCTTACTAGGAAATTTCCTCGTTTCTATTTTCGTCACTCAAGTAGGATGAAAGGATTGCTTTCGAATGCAGGCTCTTTCCAAATAATTGAAATTTCATATATATATATATATATATATAAACTATCATTACTCCCTTGCGACTCATTAAATGTTAGCAATTCAAATTATATGATGTTGGTTGTCTCTTCGTCATGATACATTTCCCTTACAAGTCGTTGTTTCTAATTTCTTATGTAACTTTTTTCTTTAGGCTTATTTGCTTATTTGTTAGTTTTCATTTCTTTATTTACGTTCATTTTTTAAGCTAAATGATTGGCATAAAGCGCACGAAAAATATGTATAGATTAGTCTATGATGGAAGAAT